ATTCGCGTGTTTCAAAAGAAAAATATATAACTTTGCTCAAAAAAAAAGCGTATAAAAATATGAGAAACGTATCTCTCTTTTTCGAAAAAAAAAGTACCACCTGTGTTATCGCAAATAATATTGCTCTTTCGATGTCATCGCGTATACGCGTGTATTGGAAACAAACAAACGCAGCAACGGAATGCTCTTTTCCCAATTTCGCTTCATTCGTAGCGGATGGTCGCGCGTGTGAGCGCGCATATACATTTATGCATTTAAATAACTTATTTCGGAGGTTGCATGTGCATATGCACGATTGCGAGATATGCGAAAATCTGTATTCTCATCGTGTATGCAAATGTACACATTTTTCCGATTGAATTCTGTAAGCTTCCTTCCCCCGGATGTTTAATCCGGGGCGCGGTTTGAGAGGCGAAATGAACTTTTAGCCCGTTTCATATCCACGAAAATGGGATTCGCGAAAAACTTTAATCTGGCTTTCAATCAACTAAGCCCGCGTCGCGAACATCTCCCCCAGACGAGAGAGAGTGGATCGATCGACGGATACCGGGAATTCATTTGTAAGGATACTTTGTAGCGCAGCCACCAATATTAAGTCCGTACGCTGCCGCTCGGATTAAATTCTGTCAAGGTATGTGATATCCTTGTCGCGATTTTGACGCGTATACGGTAACGATTGCGCGCATAAAACGAAATAAAAGTATGTATATGTTTTGAAATTCGAAAAGTGATTTGTTGAATTTTCACATTAGTGTTTGTCAGTAACATTAGTGTCGTCTGTGTGACGTCAAATTACATGTTTGCTTTTACAAAATCTCTTTGCGTAAGCATTCTCTCTCTCTCTCTCTCTTTCTTTCTCTTCAACTAAATTTTCTGGAATCGTTTCGCTACAATTCAGCTTCGCGACTCTTCTTTATACCTCAGGATTAGGTAGCGCAATTTCACCTTGTATCCCTTTATCCTGACATTTTTCAACGGTTTACTCTTTGTGCTCTGCGAAATCAAAGTCGCGGCATTACGAGGAGTGTTACAAAGAGAAAACGAGGAAAAGATAGAAAAAGAAAATAGAGAGAGAGAGAGAGAAGCGACTAACCTGAAAAAAAAACAATACGGAGAAAAAATTTTTCTGCGAAATTAATATTATTTCATACATTGTTAGAATTCTGATGTAATTGTCTTTTCCGACCTTTTCCACGCGAACCTGCCACTCAACTTTATCGACATTACCTTTTTAATAATTTTAATTTTTAATAATTTAGAAAAAGTAAGACGTAAACTGTTAAATACGAAATTTGCTCTTTTATCATTTAAAAATGGACAGTAATTTTTTTTCCTTTGAACGATTTGAATTTCGGCAAAAGTTTTCGATCTGGAATACATTTTCCTCCCGCTAAAAATATCGGAATAGCTGAAGAGACTTTTATAACATTAAAAACACTAACGAAAAAAACAGACATTTCCGTGAGCGCTGAGAATGCCAGGACTCTTTCACGTCCTGCGTTTTTGCCATTTCCAGTTGAAATTGTAAAAAAACTAGAGCGCGCTAATTTCGCAGAAGCAAGTGTCGCCTCTCTGTGACGATCGATGACGGACTAGAACGACGAACGAATTTCTCGTTTGTCGATGGAACGTGATTGCCACTTCGTTTTCGCACTTTATACAGATCTCTCTCATACCTGCCTGCAATTAACGGCGTAATTACATCGATGTCGGAGAAAAATCCGGTTGCCCGGGAAACGGTGAAAATGTTTGAAATTCCTATTTTACTTCAATGTGACTGTGTCTCCGTTCATACATTGTCAAATCAGAACCAAATTTATATTTCACGTTGAACGTGTAATTATGTCATATTTTTTTTTTCTCGCACTTACAACAAATGTTTTAATACCAACATCCGATGTGTACGTTCGCATTGTTTTCGCTGTTCGGCGATGCTTACATCAACTTCTCGCAATAGCGTAACAATCGCTATTGTTTTTCAAAACAAAATTTGCAAACAGAATTTAATCGTTAAACGATGATGACATTTGTATCATATTTGCAAACTTTGCGGACATAGTTTTTTACAAAATCATTAAATAATCTTAACAAATTGGATTAATATCTTCAATTAGCATGCGAGTTTCTCGAAATTCTATTGATTACAATTACGTTTTTGTTACTTGATACACAAATGGCATCTGCGTTCAAGCGCTCGACGAAAATAAACGGGCGTGAAACGCGATTTGCATTTCCGCTAATTGAATCACAGCCGTGGTAAATAGCCTCAAAATTGCAGAGCGGCAAATCACATTTTTATTTAATATCGTAGACTCGCGGACGGCGCTAAATAGCGAATGAATATGCATTAGTATGTAAAATTTCATCCGTAATATAATAGCGTGGCGTATAAATATAAAACGTCGCGCGTCGTTTGCGAGAGACCGACGCGCGACGTTTCGATCGATGATCTTTTTTCATGCAATTACAGATTAAATCACAAACATGAAGTTTGAAGTATCTTCAATTATCTTTTTTTTTTTTATTATTATTGATCATTATCACAGTTTGCGTCACGTTTTTACAATGACACACCATCTTGCGTTTTTATGTAGTTCACATTTATTCTTCCATTTTCTTTTCTATATCACGATGTCCGCGGCCAGACGACCGACGGAGCGTATCGAACGTTTCTTCTCTCGAAGGAGTTTTCCGTCTAGACGTTAGACATTTTGATAATAGCGTCTTTATGCGAGTAGTTTGCGAAGAGAAACACGAAAAGTCCCTAAGGTGTGTAATCGTTTGCAAAACGAAGGAGAGTAAGGATTCCCATAACTTAATTCTTCGTTGCTGATATATCATTGAACTCTAGAGGTACTTTTTTCAAGAAACATATGAATACATTTCTGTGTGTTTTTTTAATTACTGAAAAATATGCCGAAAGAAAATTACTTTCACGTTTTAAATCAGCTTCTTTATTATATTTATTAAAATTACTCGCAGAATTGAATAAGAGTGTACGATATATCGAAATATTGTCGATAAAAGATTTGTCTCTGCGGTGATAACAAGTGCAGCATATTTATTACTGCAATAATTATTTCTTCCCGCTAACCGGGTCGTCGCGAGCGTCTCTCTCGAGCGATGAAATAAAGAAAGTCAACTGCGCGCGCTGATAACTTTTTTTTTTTTTTTTTTTTCACTTGCCGTGTTCATCGACGTACATTGAAAACAAATATCTACAGCTGCTGTTTAGCGAACGGTACGAGCGGTATAATAGAGAATGCAACGAACGTGATTTATATACGACGCCATTTTATGTACTTTCTTTCTTTTATCGCCGTATACCGCATTATGCGCGAGAACGACGAGAATGTAGAAAGTTGCAAAAGCTTGTCTTTATTCACCGTTTCTCGTTAAGAGAAGACTCTCGACCGCGCGTCTCACTAATTGCGACTATCGATCTTGATCGCCATCGTACAATGTGTCATCGACTAAAGCGCGAGCGAACACACAACACTACGTCCATTCAGTCCAACTCGCCTCGTAGGTTTCAGCGTAGTTTAATTTACATCAGGTGTGTCTTAAACGAAAAAGTTACTTTATAAATTACTAAAGTTAACTCCAAACGGGGATCCAACGTTCTCTCCCCTTTTCCCTCGTCTCAAGCTGCTGCATCGAGTCGGGGTCTGTGTTTCGTATGCTTTTTGTTCTCCTTTCATTCCGCTCGCATTATCTTAACGAGGAAAACAAACGAGGAAGACGAAATGTCGGCTGTGTGTTTGCGCGGAGAATCCGGAGATATATTTTGTAATTTTTAATTTTTCCGAATCAGTGACCCGATTCGTTGCGAAAGAGCGAAAGAAAACAGAAGATTTCAAAGAATAACCGTATAAATCTCTGCGATTTGTATAGAAAATTACTCGACGGTAATTCTTCGCGATATAAATGCAAAACGCTCGATTATACCGCAACTTCTTTTCAAATCTGCGCACAACCGCCGCAACCGCGACGAAAAAAGAGTGAGAGAAAAATATATAAATCCTTTTAAGAACTTTAACCTTTTAAGAAGATTAAGACTCGATAATTAAAGTGAGCATATCTCACTCTCCCGAGAGAATTCCGGAGAATAATTCGAAGATTAGGTGTAATCCTCGGGGAGAGAGACGATGAGCGATCTTTTTTCATCGCTTCGTTCGTATAATCTCTTTGACAGTTGAGCGCGCGCTCGCGGTTAAGAATTGTGTAATACACGGACAAACGCAAAGCGCGCAAAGAGATAACCGAACCGAACCGAACAAAAAAACGGACGCGATGAAATGCCGCGCGCGACAAAACTGATACGTCAGGTGCAATATGGGAAGGGGCAAACGATGCTTGCTCGCTCCTTGAAGAAGGGCCTGGAGATTTATGCCAACACGCCCGGATTTGCGCCTGACGTGGAATTAATCTTTAGTTCTCGACCCACATTACCGCGCGCAAAGTGAGAAACCGCTCATTACACTCTCTCTGTGTATCTGGCTTTGTTACACCACGGTGTAACCATGGCGGATATAATTCTCAGACTGTTGCTCGGGAGAGATTACGCGCGATCTCTCGTATCTAACACTCGACGACTCTCTTGTGGCTTTTACGTAGCCAAAGTTCGAATTAACATATCGACCGGACGCGTCACGTGTGATTTATTATTGTTTAAATTTTATTTTCTTATACTTAATTTCTTTTGTTTATAATATTGTTTCTGGTTATTTGCAATTCACAATGAAACGTGTTATTCCTGAAATAATATATGCAGATAGGATATTATACCTGCAAATCCCAAGCGAGGTTTTCGCGCAAGCTACACGTACATGCGTGTGCGCATTAATGAGATATTTTTAAAACTGTGTGCGGCGCATTAATTTATTCTCCGCGTTTAATTGACGGCATTTAACAAAGCTTTTTTTAGTTAAGGATAAACGTTGGAATTCGCGAACGCGAGAAAAAAAATGCACATTAACGGATTGTTCCTCTCGTTTCAGATCACGGACTTCTCGGAAATTAGTCTGCTCCATCGGACTTGTCGGTAAGTAATTTTTCCTTCGAGAGTCGTCCACGTCCAAGTATAAAACTTGTCCAAAACGAGTCCCAGCGGTGTGTGTCGCGGAAAATATTCTTTTTTTTTTGCTTTATGTGGACGTCGCGTTAATGCGGAAAACTTTGTTACACCGCCGGCCGATGTCTCGTAAAAGAGTTTCGGCTTCTCGCGGGAAATTCGCAGTTCTGTCACATTAAAAGCTTTTCCCATTTGCGATAAAAAGTAACGACGCCGGAAGTCTCACGACCTCGAGAATATTAAGATATTCTCGAGCGCCGTTCTCGAGACGGTTAATTCGCGAGAAAGCTTTTCTCGCGCATTATCGAGAACATTTTGCTATTTCTACATTTAAAACCGCGAGTGCGCCGTATCTGCATTTATACTGAAAATGTACGTTGCGTAGTGTGTGTTACGCCGCCTGTTTCTCGCCTCCGAAACAAGCATCGGACACGTTTCATTTCTGGCTTCGATGTGCGCGATAACTCTCGAAGAGAATCGAATTATATTTTATCGTTGTCGTACACATATGTCACGAACATTGGATTTGGCCCGGGTGTCGTCGTCTATAGATTTCGAGACACGCGGCAGGTCGGACGGCTGAAAAGGACGACGAAGCTCTCCGGAATTGTATCCAAAATTCATGGCACGTCCTTCTAACGTAGCCTCTCTCCCGTAGGAGCTCTACACTTGAAGTGGTTACCACCTATTTTTATGTGTATCTACGTAGATATCGAAAAGAGAAAGAGTTGCCAAAGCTCTGAAAGGACACTGAAGTTTCGAATAATTTTTCTCTTCCAAACTGATGATTAAACATTATCTTAGTTTCACATCGATAAATTTGAGTTAAAAAAAAAAAGTGAGAAAAAACAAATAAATAATAGTTTGTTTGTAAAAACAAACTATTATTTACTTCTGTCAACTATTTTTTTTCTATAATCCAGATTTTTTATTAAACCGCAAATTCGCGAAATTTTATTTCTGAAAACGTAGTAAAACGTTGAACGTCGGTAATTCTCTTTACTCTTTGAAGGGCGCGTACATATGAAGATATTTGGAGCGGAGCAATCAGAAAATCACCAAACGTTAGCTCTCCTTTCCGGTGTCTGAAAACCGCTGCCAAGCGGAGGTCGTTGATAATGCTGTCGAATGCCAAGAAGTGCGCATGTTTTCCCTCACCTCACGTTTGACCTTTTCTGGGTTGGCGCGCGCGACGGAGGAGGATCAAGGCGCCTCTCTTTACCGGATGATTTTCTCCCGTCCACCGATGTGCCTGGCCTTTACGTAATGTCCTCACATTCTCGTATGATCGTACGATCCTCCATAATGCAGAACACATAATGCGTGCCGCATTTTTCCGTTGCGAAATCGCTTCGCTTCGTGGAACCGGTAATCAAGATCTATGAGTGTGATGCGATATCAAAGCAGATAGAGAAATTGCGGAAGAAACGTCCGACTCGTTTATATCAGGGTTAGGGCGAGGTCATGTAAGAAATGGACGCGGCCTAAGAAGAGTGTATGTATGTACTAACATGTTTTCGAGATAAAAGCATTGTGACGAATAAATTTATAAGAGTTGAATTTTGTTTCATTTACCAAATCGTATTTCTTCTAACTAATTGTTTTATCTGTACTATATCTGGTGTCTTACGTAGTAGTTGTTGTTTGTTAAAATTCTCGATAAGGAGAGACACGAGAGAGAGAGAGAGAAAAGAGAGTGTAGGCAATCTCAGGACTGAGTAGGAGAGGTGGGTAGGTAGAGAGATGATATCGAGAGAAAGAAGAGAGAGAGAGAGGCAGGTTCGCGTCTCGGAAATACTATAAACAGAGTTGTATTGTAGTAGGCTACCGCCATTGTCCGCGAGCGAGCAGACCGAGGTCCTAAGATCCAAGTCTGGTTTCTCGAGACAAAGCCTCGACGACGAGGCCGGCTAACAGGGGAATGCACAATTACACACGCGTCGTCTGTTCCGTCCCGTCGTCTGCTAAGAAGCCTTAATTAACGCGGTCTTTCGGAGGCGTCTTCGCGCGCGCGCGCGCGCGCGTATATCGCAAATACGCCTTTTTTTTGCCACGCCTCACGGGTATAATCTTTTAATGCGCGTTCGTCATTACTACACCCGATAAACACGTAACCGTAATGAGAATATGATAACGAAAAATCTCCTCGGAAAATATTTTTCCGAAAAAACTTTTCTCTAGGAAATTTCTCGACTATGTGTATACACATTCGCCGTGTATGTACGGTGATGAATCAAATATGACTTCTTTAACTTGTAACGGTGCACGCGAATGTTTGCCAGGAAATAGCGGCTGCCAAGAGCTTTCGCGGGAGATACGGAGAGTCGGTATATGTGTATATATATATATATATATATATATCAATTTAATGAAAATCAGTTCTTCGCCCGCGGCAAAGGACTTTCCTCTCGCGAGTGTGATTGATGAGACGTGCCGCTTGAGCGCATTCATCGTGAAAGCGTAGATTAGCGTTTGCTGTCGACGAAATATATGTATCACGACAGTGTGTGTGTGTGTCGCGAGAATAATAAATGTAATATAATGTGGCGCAGAGAGCTGCTGCCGCGGGGCACTTATAGTGGGTCGTTGCGCGTCGCATAAATTGTGCATTATATGCGAAATCTCTATGTCCTATATTTAAAAAAGGCGAAGCTAAATAGATTCAGATATGTTTGTGTACGAAAAAATATTATCGCGCAAAAAAAAAAAAAAAATAAAAAAAACAAAACACGCGTGTAATATACAACGTTATAAACACTCTGTTCTGATTATTCGCAGCGCGGATATGAAATATCTAATACGAAGCAGAGCGAATAACGAGACTAAAACATGTGTGTGAAACTCGACAAATTTGTGCACGCGATAAGAATCGACCAACAATCGAGAAATCGGGACTGTTGATTATCTTCTCTCTCTCTCTCTCGGTGCGCTGAATTATAACAATGGAGGTATTTCGGAGGAGCTTGCATTATTCGCAGATGCGATCTTGGCTTCGCAAATGCGATGTTGGCTTCGTATCGGATGATGACATCGCTCTACGGAACGTACACTATCGCAATGGGAATAGTGAAATACCCGAACGAATGTTCTGTCTGTATTGCGAGACGCTGTTTTCTTTTGTAAATTTCATGGAATATATTGACTCGCGTTAAAACAATCAATATTTCTTAGTTTTATCTTTCTTACAAATTACGTAACGCACATGTTTGATGTAATTCATTTATGATATAATTTCTGCGTGAAAAAACATAACACGTTATAATAATATCAAACTCCCTCACTCCCCCGATCTCGGCGATCTTTATCGTGCATTCTCGTCGTCGACACTTTGGCTACGTAGAAAACGCACCCTCAGAATTGCTCTTATCGGCATCTATTCCAACGACGCCCATTTTCCATCCCTCCGGCCTTATCTCCGGCCGAGCGCCGCGTGAAAACCCTCTTTAGCCCGACCATTTCTGTCTCTCTCGTCACGACCGAAGACAATACCTCCTAAAAAGGTAACAAACATTTTAGTAGCTGCACGGGGAAGACCTCGAATGACGAGGAGACTAGCTCTTCGCGTAGTTTTTGTTGGTACTTGACAGTCTTGGGGGAAAATAGTCCGTAATAAAGTATTCACACACACTAACACACACACACCAACTGTGAAACTCTTTTTTATTCTCACATCTCTTTAACTCATTTCTTTGTGAAATCGCGCGTTGCGTGTGAACATTTATATATAACCTCGCATGTTCTATATGTAGGAGGAAAAGTTGGAAAGTGCATATTGACGACGCGTATTATATTCAAGCAAACTGAATTTTGAAAAAAAAAACGCACGGTAAAATATAACGTTGTACTGTCTTTAATTGATCGAAGGTAAATACGCGAGAATTATTATTGAGAGAGATCCGAAGGTGAAGCTCTCTCTTTGGAATAGCGAGGTATTAAATAAAGATATCGTCGGATGGAATATCACGATAGAACGGCGGTGGCGAACTGAAAGGCAGGTCGAATTGATCATTAATAATTAAGAAGAAGTTTCTTAGCTGTACGTACACACGTGCGGGCGCGCGAGAGAGTGAAATCAGCGCGCTGCTCTCGATAGCATCTCTCGCGCTCGAAGTCTCTCGCTCCGGCCGGCGCTCTCGATGGCAAACCTCGGGGGCAAGCGGTAGGTCTTCCTTTCGCGCGCTGCCAGCCACGTCAGACGAGTTCATTACGGTTGCAATGCGGCTAACAGGATTTCGCTGGTTGTCGTAACGAGCTCTCCCGAGTCGTAATTCAAAAGTTGATTCGAGTAGCTGCAATTTATTGCTTTGCGCGCGCGCGTTCCCGGTTAAGACTTTTCCCAGCGGAAAGGAGGAAGAAGGAGAAAAGAAAGAGTGGGCGAACAGGACGAGGAAAATCCTGTCGTCGTTCTCCCCGATAAGGTCGCGGGGAAATTGCATTACATCATGAACGGAGTGAGCGAGAAGAAAGAAGTTTTGGCGCCGCGATCGACGATGAGGTTTCCTTGTCGTCTTCGTCGTGTCCTCGTCGTCGTGTCCTCGCCGCAAATTGAAGCATCCGTGATTGTTAATACAAGCAGACACTCGCGAGCAAAATCTCCGACGACGAGTATCCTCTCCGGGACCGACCCTTCGATTGTACGAAATTACGGGCGAGATTTTAATGATATTTGCTTCGAGTGAGAGCACGCACTTTTAGACAATTCGACTTGAAAATTTGTTCGCTCGTCGAGATATCGATCAAGAAATTTCGTACGCGAGCATTATCGCGAAGATAAGATTGGCGCGCAGAGATATGGCGGACGAGAAGAGAGAAAGAGGAGAAGATATATGTACATACATATATATATATATATATTGGAAAGGATACGATCGATAACGGATTACGAATTGCATTCGGCAGGATCGAAAGTTACGATTGCACGACGGGCCAATCCCTTTTCGAACTTAGCAATCCGCTTAACTTCAGATTCA